TCTGTTCCAGTTAACGATCCTAATTCCAATCCATCTTTGCCTTGGGCTTTTAAAGAAATTATGTTTTAGTTTTGGTTTCATCAACAGATGGTGCTACTAGCTTAGTTTCTTTCCAGGCTTTCTTATATTATCAGATCATTATATCCTATCTCTTTCATTTGCGCTTTTGCAGCTGACGATGGTGGTTCAGTAAAACCATCGAAACTAGTCCTGTGAAAATTTGAAAATATAACGCTGATTTTTGTTGTTTGACTTCTGAATTAGTATTTGTTCGGCGTGTTATTGTGTCTTAATTATTGAAAGAAATGTTTAATAAAGCAAGCTATTGAACTTTTTTGTAAATTTTAATTCTCTTTAGGCCATATAAGCTTTATTTCTTCAAAAACAACTACTTGATATCTTAAATTTTATAGTGTACGCATCTTACTAGACTCAAACTGATCTGAAATCTGATGATCTGATGAAATCTGATGATCTAAAATTCGAGAAATTCCATAATCTGCAATCACGTCCCACTGAGTCCAAATCTCAGATTTTGTACTGTATATGCAAATAATCCAAATGTAATGTAAAAATTCGTAAAGAAAAAAATTTTAATAAAACTCAAAAAGACAAGACCTATAATCAGCAAAATTCATTAACCCATATATCTTTGATCCCAAATATTACGCAAGGGAACCAATAGTCATACCAATAGTTAAATTATAAAGAAATAACCCAATTCTGCAGTTTTATCCATTTGACTATTGATGCATCATCATCAGAAGGAACCGCTATCATGCTGTTAAAGGACAAATAATGTACTCTGCCCCCAAAAAAGGAGAAGACAGTTCTATATCTCCCGTTCTGGTCCGTTTTACGAAATTCAACTTGCGTTTTTCATGCCTCAAAAGCGTGACTTAGAATATGTATTAGATTTATATATAACATTGTTTTAATATATGTATTTTGACATAAAATGACTTTTTCTGAAATGACATGCCAATTTTTTTTTCTTTATTTCGATTCTACCACTCAAGTTATGCCAAACTGCGAAGTTTTGCAAAAATCGCACGAGTAGTTTTTAAAAATTTAGCTCTCAAAATTTTAGCTCCTCAATTTTCATTAAATTTGGTATGCATTTGTTAGTGTTGCCGATCAAACAGGAGAATGAAATTCCCCGATTTTTCCAGGTTTTTCAGGAGTGTTTTAAGAAAATTCCAGTCTATCCGCGTAATGCACGTTTGCTGTGCTAAGAGGTAAATTAATTATGAAAACACAAAAATCTTCCAATTACATACAAGTTTTATATATATAACATATATAATCCCCAAAGCATTCCTATTATAACTATAATAGGAGTTGTTTTCTCCAATGAAGATTGAGATTAGAATCTGCCCAATCTGGATTACAAAATGTCTTTTTGCGGACATTTTGCAGTTAAAAGAAAGAAAAAAATCTATTTAATGATATTTTTTAATAAATTCAGGTATTTTATATTTATTTAGCAGCATACATAAGCAAAACATAAGTGAATTAAATTTCGTGATGGAATGAAATTTCTGAACTATACTGCTAGAATTAGTTTTAGGATTATGCCAGAAAATCAACGATATTTTGCTGAATATAGTTATATTAAATGGTTAGCCTAGGTGACTGATTGCTATTTTTTTATTTTACTGCAAAATGACAAATAAGACATTTATTGAAATGAAAAAAAAAGTTTAAAAAGATTTTGCGGTAAAATCCCAATATACGGCCTTGGCACTATTTTGAAATGACACGTTTACTGCTTATCATAATGTCACCAAACCCTGTGTGTGTACCAAACATGGAGGTTAGAATAGAATACATGGAGGCCATTCTAACCTTCGTGGTACCATATACTGGGAGTTAAACCAATTTTCTTTTATACGAGAATACACATTTCCTTTAGTTCAACATCACATTCGAGTCTCCCGATTCTTGAGGTTACTGGAAACTTGCTTTGCCTTTCTAAAAGACAATTTAATTGGAGCTGCGAAAACTGGCTCAATTCCAGCTGGCCGAAAGACACTTACAGGATACCTAATTCACCAAGAAAGTTTTTTTGGAGGGGGCATTGCCATATGAAATTCCCGGACTTTTCCAGATTTTGACTAAAATATTTAAATTCCCTTACTTTCCCCTGAATTTTTGGGTCAATTTTCGAATTACCTGACTTTTTCCGGTTTTCCAGGTAGTGTGGAAACCCTGTTATTAATATCTCTTTTTTTATTATACTTACTTGATTCCTTCTTTCACAGTTCGAAACTTAGGTTCATTCCAAATAAAATTCACCCATTTTTTCTGATTTATTTTTAAATAATTTCTATCTTTCTATTCTAAACTTTTCGAAAAACATTTTTAATTATAACCTATAAAAATTTTACCGCCAACTTAAAGTAGATGTATTTCTAAGCATACCTGCAAAAAATTAGAGCTTTTTATTCAAAATTTCTTAATATATAAGTTAATTTATATATTGGCACATTTTTTAATTTGGCATATTCGTTGAAAGCAATAACAGCATCTAATGTGGTTTACACACACTGCTAAAATTATTTGAAAGTAGGAACAATGTGACTTTTTTCTCTCCCATGCACAATGTAAAAAGGAAAACAGGTTGCCATAAATTAAGAAGTTTGCCAAGTGAATTATTCTTGGTACAAACTGAAAATAATATGATAAGATAATTTTTTTTAATTTCTCCATAAATTTCGCACCAAATTTTACAAAATTTAACATTTAGGCATAATTTGAGTCGTAGAATCGAAATATGCAAAAAAATTGGCAAGTTATTTCAGAAAAAGTCCGATTTTGTATCAAAATACCTAAATTAAAACAACAAAACTATATATAAATCTAATATATATCGAAAGTCGCGCTTTCAAGATATGAAAAAAGCAATTTGAATTTCGTCAATCGGCCCAGTAGAAAGGGAGATATAGAACTGTCCTTCCCCCGGCCAGAGTACAGCATATCTGAAACCAAAATATTTAAGTTTTTGTCTTTTTTTTTAAACTGTAAAAAATATCTGATTCATAAGTTACTAAGCATGTACAAGATAGAACGTGTTGCAACATAATAAAATAATAAAGCATGATAGACCAAATACACACAGAACTATCAAATTAGAATAGTAATTAATTTATTACCCAGGCAGTGCTTTAATGGTTAATTTCTATATTTTTTTTTTTAATAGACTGAAACTATATGCATCATGTCCACAAAAATCTTTACCTAGCCTTTTATCTTAATCACCACTGGCCAAAGAGATATATTTCCAATTATAAAAATGTTTTAAAATGACACAAAAATTTATGTTTTGGTATTTTTTAATTCTTAAAAAAATTTAATTTTGTATAAAATATGAAATCGAGATTTTACACATCCCTCCATTTCATATACTTTTATTTAGGGGAATTTTGTACTGTTTATTAAAAAAAAACACACACAAAAGTTTGACCACACAAAGTACCATAAAAGTTGACCAACATATTTGATATTAAAATCGAAAATCATATTTAAAAACACATAAATTGAGAAGCAAAATGCTTGCATTTGTACATAACTAAAAATATAATATCATTTTGGAAAAGCTCTCTGATGTTAGATTATGTGTAAGCATTTCTATGTAGATTACTGGGTAAAATATTGATCAATATAATTTCGTCAAATTCAAGATCTTATTTAAACAATCTTATAGAATATGTGTATGTTGTTTGCATTAATTAAAAATTAAATATAGTTGTACTTAAATAAATTTTCTGCATGATTACCAGATTATGATTCTGAAATAATAAAACCTCTTGAGAATATTAGTAATACATTTTATGACTTCAAAAACACTAATTATTTCTGTAAAAATTCTTTTGGCATACAAATGTAATAAAATTTTAAATTGAAGACACTATTAAAACACAAAATAGCATCATAGAATGGTATTTATTTTTTAATCAACCACAATTCATTCTAATTTACATACTATCTGATCCCTGAAAGCAAAGTGAATATGACATCAAAAATCATTGATCTTAAAATCAATTACCTCAGTCGATTTTTAATGCACATGAGTCAAATATTTTGTGCTTTATAATTTCCTTAAATATAAGTATAGGAACTGGAGAAATGTATAAAAATTTGTATTTTTTAATATTTACAAGACTGATATCTTTGAAATTAAAAAAAAGGCCAAAATATGAATATTTGCAACATTTAAGACAATTTTGTAATTGGAAGTGTATGTCTACACGATCAAGGGATACATAAATAAAGGTTGGGTAAGGACTTTTGCAGGCACTGTGTGTGAATATTTATATGAAACTATATATGAATGCATAAAACAGTATATAATTTATACTTCAATTTATATACAGTAACTCATGGAGGTACTGCTATTCTCCAAAACTATAAATACATCAAAATAATACGCACATGTAATTAAACAATAAATTTTTGATGGGTATGGGATTATGATGTGAATGGAAAGTTTCCCAACACAGGGAACAAGGGGTGACAGACAACTCTAATCATGATCTGCGGGAAGACCTAATTTTACATAACATAGCAGAACAGCTTTAGAAGATGCTGACGAACCTGATGGATTTATTTTGAAGAAATAAGTCAAGAACAATGCATATTATGGAAAATATTGCTAATTTCTAACATCTATAGTATAAGACTCCAGTCAGGGCAACTTAGCTCTAATTTAACTTGGAATGAGACTAATAAAAACCTGCTACACAATATATATGCAAATATCAAATCGACTATAAGATATGACAAAAATTCTGGACTTTTTTTAGCATTTTTAATATTTGAATCATTTCAATATATTTAATATTCTTTTAGTAATGTTTTTATAACATACTTTTTCATTGATTCTGATATAGAAAGAAAGGAAAAAATACATAAATGGCAACAATTCCACTTCTAAAAATAATATACAATATACATAATTCATATAAATATTAAAAACACAAAGCAAATAAAATTAATACCTCTTCACCCTCAGAATCTAAAACAGTAAAATCGCCATCTGCACTGTCTTCAATATTCTTTAATTTCACATTCCTTAAGAAGAAACTTCGATCACTGCAAAATTATATGGAAATATTGATAGAAGAAGATTTGATTTATAAATATAATAATATAAAAATTTGCTCTGTGAATAAAATATAGTTAAGTCAAGAACTATAATAAAATTAGAAACTGAAAACATCCTAGCAAACCTGATGCTAAAACAATAACTCTTGGAGTGACATGACTGTCAATATCCAGTCATGAGATTTGTTATCACTTTCATGTTATTTTATTTAAGACTGTTTTTTACAATCCAAACTCTGTTTTTAACAATTTTTACTGTTTTTTTAAACTGTTTTTTAACAATCTAAATATCCTGTTACTGAAAACAATGAACGAAATTAGTAACTACAGTCAAAAGTCGTTAATCCGGACTCGTCGGGACTTCGGCGATTCCGGATTATAGATCATCAGTTTAAATCTCGTAAGATGGCATGCAGAAATTCTAAAATTAAAAATATGAAACCGTAATTTATGAAATAAAGAACAATTATGATCTAAAGGGTATCAAAATTTACAAAAAAAAAAAAAAAAAGCTTAATATTTATTTGTTTACTTTATTAAACATTTCTTTCAATGTAATTTGTTTAAGTTGCTTTGTTTTATGTGATAATACTTTCTCTTCAATTCTATAAACAGACATAATTTCTTGTTCAGTTACAAAGTTCCACTGTTCAAGTCCCGTTATCCCGTTAATTGCTGTGCTGAGAATACCGACTAACTTGTCAATCGAAATTTTTTCGTTTTCACTAACATCTCTGTCACATTCTTCATGTCTTTATCCATTTTTTGCAGCAATTCCACTTTTTGTTTGTTGGACATCGAAACATACTTTCGTTTTGTAGATCCTTTGGAAGTTCCGGCATCAGAAATTCTATTTGACATAATCGAAAGTTCAAGTTTACTTTTATAAAATTGTTCTTACAGTCTGCAAAAAATAATAAGCGGGACCCAATTCGAAGATTAAGGAACAACGCAATCATTAACATTAACTGAAATAGATAATTAGATAATTTTAGCTTACACCGTCCGTTATACATTAAACCCGCAGGCGAAAACGTATTCTGCACTTGTGCACACGCATATGCGCAGTAGTCAAGGTCTTACGCGCACGCGTAAAATGCCTGTGCGCATGTGTTAACGCGGCGCATGCGCAGAAAGTTTTTAGCTTTGAGGTCCGGATTATAGATCATTCCGGATTATGGGTGCCCGAATTAACGACTTTTTACTGTATATAATAGTTAGCTAATACATGCTTTTAAATTCAGTCATTAGATGGTTTCTTTTGGCTATGACAGATGACACCAGTTGTAATTAATTTATTTCTCGCTTATTTTTAGACTCCACTTCTTTTCCTCTCTGTTCCTGGCTTCTTTATATCCTTGGGCTCAACTTCAGATGCTTTACTGTCATAGCATTAACCCTTCAGCACACGCGCATCACTGTTCTACGTTAGTACACGCGCCGGACGAATTTTACCCCAGTGTTTGTTTCTCGGAATTCACCTCTCCAAAGTATAAATAAATGCATTTTCTTTGTTTTAAGTGAATGTATAAATGACTAATAGCTTTTTGAATTCTGATAAACCTTTTTTCTAATTTTAATTTGAGATAATCTTACTTTAAGTTATACAAACATTTCCATACTGGTTATCTAAAGTAAGCCATAAAAATCGAAATTTATGCAAAATTACTAACTTATATAAGATACATATATGATTTCTTATATTAGAAAAATCAGTTTATGCAAAATTACTAACTTATATAAGATACATATATGATTTCTTATATTAGAAAAATCAGTTTTTATATGTACATCTTTTTTAAGCGTAAGTGTTTATTATAAAGAGTGGTTTGATAAAGCACTAGAGGAATATGAAAAGGCTGCATTCTTACCAGTTTTTTCCCTTAATATAATGTCATACAATTATTCATATCAAAAAATAGATTCTAAATACAAATATTAAAAAATATAAATAACACATTGGTTTTTCGCCCCCCCCTACCTGAGTTTAACTATTCATATAATCTCGTTTTGAACAATCCTCATATAATGCGACAACATATTTTTTACAAACAATTTCTTAGGGTGTTTCCAAAACAGTTATTCAGCTTCCGTCCGCTAACCACAAATCTTTGCTTTGAGAAGCGCTGTTCTCAGCACTTCAGTAGCACTTCTCAGCAATTAAGCGGAAAAACAACGCCTTCAATTCAGTTACGTTTCTCTCTTGTGCATCACGTTCTCTAGAGAATTTGTTTCTTATTGATGAAATGTAAATGTTTGTTGATTACACCAAATCTTCCATTATTTCTTCATCAAAAATTTGCAATAAACACTCAGTTGGATTTTTCAAATTCCTAAAGTTTTCCTTGACACCAGGTAAATGTGTCACTACATTGCGCGGCCGTGTCCGAATATTTTTCGAGGGTAATTTTTTACTTCAACTTGTTCCATCTTTCAAACATAAAAATCATCTGATATCAAAGGAGATATGCTCCCTAAATCATGTGAATCATCATATTATTGGTCAGAACCCGTTTCGTGATCACTTTCAGAAATATTATCGCACTCAGAATTGGAATCTTCATTTTCGCTATCAGTTTCAACACTAGCGAGAAGAACTCGCAGTCGTTACAGTTCTCGCTCGTACGCACTCATCTTAATGAATGTCTCTCTAGAAGTGAAACGTTAGTACATGCGCAGGGTAGCTACAGTCCCATTGCACATTCCTCCCTTGAAAACACAAAATCCCAAGGGCCCGGGAAAAATTCCTCTGGATGACCCCTTCCTAACATTGAACTTGAAAGGTACATGAAGTACTAGAAAGGTCACGTATGACCTTCCTTACTTTCTAAGAAAAGACTACGGGTGGGGTGGATTTTACCCCAGTGCGTGTGCTGACGTGTTAATGGATTTATTTTAACCAAACTAAAAAGTGCTCCTTAGGGGGTTCTAGAATGCATAATTAAATAGATTTGATGAAAGCAAGGCTAACTCCAATACAGTAATCAAAGAACTGCTGAAATGTTATACCATCTTCATCAATAACTTGTTCAATGCATGTCTCTGACTCAACTATTCCCCCCTCCCGAGTTCCTCATAAACAAATCTTAAATGCCTAGCAGGCATTTTGTGGTAGAGCATTTAAGCAAACAACTGTAAGATATAATATGCAAACAGAAACAAATGAGACAATTTTGAGAGTGAAAATTCCAATCTTCATATCAACTATACTGATTAACAATGGTTACATTTAAAAAAAATAATAATAGGTATTAAAATACTTTGTTTTTAATAATTTTCGTGCATCTTGTGAAGATAATTTCAATTACAAAATTAGAATTTCTCTATTACTTTATTATTATTATTAAGTAATAGAAGGAAACTAATTCCCTTATGATTACAGCAATACCTAGCAACTCTGATTTGAAGAAACTACACTTTAATTGAGTAAAATAAAAACTAATTCTAAAAAATCAGTAATAAAATTTTCTTAATACATAAATAAACTTATCCCTCCTTTATATGGTACTCTTTTTCGGTGCTTAATTTTTATGCAGTTCTAAAAGTCATACAAATTTCAGTTTTCTGTCATTCCCTACTATACATGTATATACCATGCTCTGGCCATTTATTCTTTGAACTCTGACAGCTTTTATTACAGGAGATAGAGCATTGACTTTACATTCCATCAGTACAAATGAATGCATTAAATCAAACATTAAAGAATCAGATAATTAAACTACACTTTAATTACTACAGATAAGTTATTTTGTAGCACATAATTTATGTAGCACCTAATTTTTCTATTACTTAATAAACAATTACAATAAAGTTTAGTAACATGACAAAATTACCATTCAAACAAAATGCACGTAACAGCTAAGTTAAAATCAAAAGAAAAAAATCTGATGTGTACACCACATGACTTCCTTGTACGAAATATTAAATTATACGCATTTTTTTCTTGAATTTCATTTAAATTGATTGGATTGAATTAAATCTACTTCGTCGACAGCGCATAAACCACAATAGAATAAATGCACTCTTTAAAATTCACTATATTTGTTTACTATAACGACACTCTGAATGCACAAAATTTATATCATTTGAAGAATTATCTTATCGTTGCCACATATTCTATTCAAATACTATAATAAAGCTAGATTGATGTATGAAAGAAATTAAGCAAACAAAACAGAAAAGAAACAGTTTTTCACAGACGATTTAGTATTTCTCATTCAATTAATTCAGTTCTCACTTCGCGACAAGGCAAAAATACATAAAAACTCAAAATATCTGTATTAAAAATTACGAAGTAAATCTTAAACACTTATTTCCTCGAAAAAATTCCAGAAAGGATTAAGCATGATTTAATTTGCAATAATAAATGAAGGCGTTATTTTTGTTGTTGTGAAGCTTAGTCTCTCTAGATTGGCAACAAATCTACAATTCTGCCGTTTCAAATGTAAACAAATATGTCCACCATGTTATTTAAAACTTATCCGCACTTAAACAGCTTTTAAATTGTTGATAATTGTACAAATATTGCTTCCAGAATTATGAAAGGCATAAAATCCTTAACCGTAAGATAAGAACAACATAATTCAATCATTTTTAAAGCAAAAAATGTACAATTTACAAACATATAAGAGTAAAGAAACTGAGATCACTGTGCCGAGTTACAGAGTAGATATATATATAAATATAGTATTTATATACGTTTGGTGCGGACGATCACAACCAAAATATGAGGTGCACATCTACATGTTATAGCAGTTCAATATACAAAATTTCAACGTTCTGAGGCTACTCGTTTTCGAGTTATGCGAGATACGCACGTACGTACCTACATTCGTACAGACGCCACGAAAAATTCTCTTCAGAATTAATGTTAAAGCAGTTTTATAATTTTTTTGGAGGAAACGAGTCTTTTATTCTGTCCTTACGTACAGATATCACGCAAAAACATCGTTAAATTGCATTCGATAGCGGTCAAAATGGATATTTTCGTTGATATATGCTGCCTGAAACTTTTCCCGATTACAGTACTTTCTTTTTACTTCGTACAAGGAAGTAAAAACAATAATTGTATTTTTTAAATAATTCTTTTTCTTTATAAAATTGCATAAAAAAAACTTACGGTGCAGGATTTATGATCAAATATAATACTAATAATGTAAAATTCAAACACTGGCATTTGGCACTACCACTAATTCCATTCGAACAGCTCTTCATACATGGAATCTGTATGAACTGTGAAGCCCATTTTCTTATACCATTAGGACAACGAATTACATGATTTACAACAAACAAATAGTCACATAATTTAGCTCCTTTAAGCAATTCTGACACCTATAAGACAAAATACAATGCTGTGATTATTTGATAAATTAGAAATTACATCAATAAGATAATTAAATATTCAAAGCATTTTATTTACAAGAGAAAACTAAAAGGTATTTACCAGTATTTTTAACCACTGCTGGATAATTTCAAGGAATTCTCTATCTTTAATAGACTGACGCTGGTAATTAAACAAAATGCTTATGCACTTCTTCAACAATAAATTCTGGCAATGAGTGTATGGTCCAACACCGTTTCCTTGTGATACTAAAACCAATAAATATATTTTAATATACATTACAAAAAGCAAATTAAATGTTAAGTGATATCTTTACTTATATTATAAATACTACATATACTCTGCGAAGTTTTAAAAATAACAAAATTAAGAGTAGCTTATACATGTTCTAGAAAGATTATAAACATAAATTATGTCTTTAAAGTATTCTAATTCCAATAACATAATACTTAAATAAATTCATTCCTACACATAACTTGAACCTAAATGTGAACAATCAAATAGGAAAATGTAAGAAGAATACTTTTATACTGGCAGTGCTACTGACAATTCTCCAAGCAATGCACACATATTTTCCCTGTCCTTTGGCTTTTTACTGCTGCTATTATGGTCATTCTGTATTGTATTTTCATTGTGTTGTGATAACTAAAAATATTTAAGATAATTGAAGAACACACTGATTTTAAGATTCAGTCTGTAATTTGTTTCTTGAATGTACGAAACATGAAATCTGCTTAAATTCGTCATCAAATTAATTAGTTATTTGGTTTATTTTTCATGCCAAAGCATTCAAAAGCTATCTGCATGAGAGAAGAGATGCCTTCATGGAAGACTTTCAAATAAAAACTGACTCGTATACATGTTACACATGGGGAAAACTATGAAATGCAGCCAGCCCATTTGCCAGTATTTGAAACCTGGACCGAAATACCGGTGTTTAGCACCTTTACTGCATGGCCACTGATGGGCATAAGAGTAATGATATTTATGGTGAAATTTCAATGAGCGAAGGGAAGAACATTCAATGAAAGACTACAAAATTTACATGAGTAAAGCATGCAGCAGATGGCCTTGTCTTGTCTATGATGATTTGGTAAGGTAATTTTAATGAAAAACTTCAAGGGAGCAGATGCTTTATATAGTCAACTAGGTGTACCCGCCCGGCGTTGCCGTGCATTTAGAAAATGCAGATAAGTGAATAGCGCAGGAATAGTAGTGTAGGACATGTAGACTGTCTCTCTCTCTTCCCCCCCCCACAAGCTACAAAAAAGAAATGAATTGTAATTAATCGATTTAATGTATCGTCAAAACAGCAAACTAACGCTAGAATAAAGAAATCAATTGTTACAATCGAACGTTATTTGAAAACAAATAATAATATCAGTGAGTCAAAAAAACCGTGATTAATAAATTATAAATAATTTTTTTAAAATTTTTCTAATTCAAAAATCGAAAATCGGGCTTCGAGGTCTGGTGGCCAGCCCCTTTGTGCTTCCGTATAAAAAATTCCAGGTCCCTGCGTGCGATAGATTTGGCTGGAGAGCTCGGTCAGACAGACAGACAGACACATTACACTTGCTTTTATTATTATAGATACATTTTGAGGAATTTCCTTAACCGTTTAAGTGCCACATATCTTTGCTGTTTTTCCATCCGAAAGTGCCAAGGAACACTTTTTTGCTTGCCTTATTCTCGGATTAAAAATGCCAAGGAGCACTATTGCACTGTTTTCTGCTCTTATAAGGTAAGCTGTAATTATTTCAATTCAATTCAGTGTTGTTCTGACATCTTTCTGAGCATAAGTGCAGATACCAGTGCCTCTAAATAAAAGATATTATTTCAATATTTTATTGCACTGTTTAATCAGTTCAAAACAGTTCTATTAGAAAGTCTAGATTAACCTGTGTAGCATGCAAAAAAGTTTTGCATGTGTTCTGCTTTGACAAGCATTTCTGTTAAGGATATTTGTATCCAAATGTTAGACTGAAATTAAAACTCATTCTTTTACCAGCTGTCTCGTTATTTTACTTTTACCTAAAATGGAATGGTAACCCCAAAGTTGTGCATCAATGGAAACCGAGTGTGTCACGGTTATCGGCTTTGCAACCTAGAGCTTTCGCACTTTCCTGAAGGACACAGAAGAAGCACAAAATCGCTCCTTGCCAATCAAACGGTTAAATTTTAAAAAAACGAAGCTGTTTCCCTCCACTTAGGTTGTAACAAAAGTGCTTAGAGATGTCCACAAAACCAAGTGACTTGAAAGTGTTTTGACATTTCTTACCCAAAACAGTGATCAGGGAGAGGCATTTTTAAGCCTCTGGAGAAAAAAAAACAACCTTGGGTTCATCATGTAATCCCAGAATCGAAACAGCGGTCCATGGAGGATTTCGCAAAAGGTAAAAATTCAAATCATCATGTAATCTCAGAATCGAAACAGCAGTCCATGAAGGATTTCGCAAAAGGTAAAAATTCAAAATATGTGCACTGTGCACAACCCAAAAAATCATGTACACTGTATTATGGAACATGAAAGGGATCTACTTGATGAATCTCTTCTTAGAGGTGAAACTGTGAATGCTACTTGATAATGTGGGACTTTATACAAATTTTGGTGTGCAATTCAAACCGCAAGGAGAAGAATGTTAAATCAAGCAATTGTCTTGTTTCATGACAATGCTCCAAAGCATGCAAAGTAAGCATGCTCCAAGCATGTCAGAGGCAAATTCAGGAATTCATTTGGTAGAAATTCGATCACCTTTTCTATCGCCAAGAACTAGCACTGTCTGACTATAATTGGTTCCTGAACATGAAGTGTCACATTCGAAATCAGAGCTTTAAAAGTGACAATAACACAAAAAATGCTGTAACTATATTGCCTATCACTGCGCACAGAAATTCTTATATACGATTATGTATAGGTAAATTAATCATCTCCTACGAGAAATGTCTCAACATCAGTGAAAATTATATAGAAAAAAGCTAAAGAAATGACCTTTCATCTAAAAATAAAATTGGCTTAAAAAACATTTGTGGTCTTTTCTTTTACAAAACACAGCTTACTTCATGGACATAGCTAACACATAATATACTGCAAGAATTTTAAGTTAATTAAATAACCATGTTAAGAACAAAATTAAGTTATTCAATAAAATTAAGCACAAGGAGCATCAATTAAATGGTAGTAATTATCACAAAAATACTTTTAAAATTCCTAAACCTTCCTGAATCAATAAGCATAAAAAATACAAATTAATAAACATGAAATGAACAAGAAAAATATGATTAAATTTGAAAAACCAATACATTATTTAATTTATAAAATAAATGCAAGTATCAAAATTATTACATGGAAAAACAAAGTAAAATACTATTAGTTAATAAGCTAAAACTTAGAACAGAACATATTTAATTTATTATTATTAATAGTATTTTAAATAGAAATTAATAGTCTTTAAACGGTAAATTAAATAGTATTTTGGTTTTACAAATTTAAACACATTTTGCTTTTGTTCACTTCGCATTCACTTTGTTTTTAGTACTTATTGTTTTATGAAAGTTTAGAAATCTTTAAAGTATTTTTGTAATATGCACTTTTATAATAAAACATGGGTTTCAGAGACCTTGCATAAAGTAACTGAATTCAAATCTTTAGATTTTTATTACTGGATTAGCTCTCACTACTTCTGGAAATAACTGAATAGAGACAATAATCATAATTTAAATTTAGCATGAAGCCCAGCACTAAGCAATTTTTTACAGTGAAATATCAGTCACTAAAAAACATTGGTACTCTTCTGTTATCGGGACCAGATTCAGAATTGTGTTTATGTGCATATATGCATATGTGTATACACAAATATATATACATGCATACATATATCTATACATAAAAGCAGTTCCGAATCTAGTCCCAATAACAGAAGAGTACCAAAATATATACACTGAGTATTAGATTTCAAGAAAAGTTATGAAGTCTTTTAACTACTGAATTGGGGAAAAGCATGATAGTGGAGGAAAGTATGATTAGCAGTAAAAAGAAAGAAATCATAAAAAATACAAGAAAAAAGTATTTTATCTGAGAAATAAACTGCACTCTTGGCAACAATAGTTTTAACATTACTAGAATGAGCTATTTGTTACAGTTTTCTTACATTTTCAAATTAATGACATCAATTTCTTTATTTATTTCATTAGAAAAGGATTAAACTATAAAGAATTGACACTTATCAGTTAAAAGAATACAATTACAGCGTGGTACATAGAGATAAACATTGTACAGCAGATTGTACAATAAAACTCAAAAAGAGTGCATCCAAGAAAAATTTTTGTTAACTGTGTGATGGAATAGCAAGAGAATAATCTACTGGGATATCACCAAACAATAATACAAAACTCTATTGCTACCAGCTGGATAAACTGAGAAGACAACCAACATATAAGCAGCCAGCGCTTACCAGTTATAAGAGCATTATCCTTCAACATGATAATGCAGATCATAAGCTGCTCTAATAAAAAGATCATTGGGCTTTAGTTAAGAAGTGTTATCTCATACAGGATTTTCTCTGATATTACAACTATGGACTCTTTTTAATAATTCCAGAACATCTTTGCTTTACATCTTCACTGAAATTGTGAATGTAATGGCATTGTTACACTTTCTTGATTTTAAAACAAAGGAATTTCATGGAATGAACCATCTAACAGACAATAAAAAGTATAATGACAGAAATTATATGAAATCATTGCTACTTTGTGTTGTCTATTTTTCTTTTGTAACTAAAAATAGATAGAACTTTTGACATAATTAACACATTTCTTTAAAATTAAGTAATTCTTGAATCTTTTACAAAGCATCAATTTTCTATCAAGATAGCCATTATCCAACATAGAAATGAAAAAAATTGTTACGATCAGTAAATAATCTGAAGTGCAGTACAAAGTCCAAGATCTGGACTCATCAGAACTTTGGCAGTTCAAGAATTGGAAATTTTTAAGATTTTGGATCATCATTTTAAATCTAGTAAGATGGCATGTAGAAATTATAAAATTAAAAGCCTGAAAGAGTTGTTTATGAAAGAAATAATAAAGCATTTTTGACCTTAAAGAAATCAAAATTTACAAAACCAAGCTCAATATTAATTTTTTCACTTTATTGAATATTTCTTTCATATGTAAATTGTTTAAATTCTTGACATTTTAGACAGACATAACGTCTTGTTCAAATTTAAAGTCTTGTATTCACAATGTCAAGAAAGCGATACATTCTGATGACCTCCAAGATCACGTGACTTATTTACAGCTAATGTAAACAAACATTCTTCCTCCTTTTCTCTTGTGGATTGTATTTCATTCCCACTAAACTGTCAATCAAAATTTTTCATTTTCAACAACCTCTTTGTAACTTTCTTCATTGTCAGTAGTGATATTTTCTGGATTCGAAACCATACCACAGATTTAACTGTCTATTATATCATCTTCATTTATTATCCTTTCTCAAAATTTCTTCACAAATTCCATAATTGGAGAAATTTGATTTTTATTTGTGATACCTATAAACTTTCAAATTCACAGCTATCATCATAAAGCTTAATTCAAGGGATATTTTCCCATTGTACCTGCTAGGTGTAATCGTAAACAATTTCTAGTTATAAGAATAGTTTACAGATGACAAATATAGAGAGGTCATCACAGGTGATGGCCTACAGATCATCACCTGCCCTGCACCAAAAAGCATGACAGAAGCACAATTGAAAAGCAACTTTAAGACTTATCAGAATAATAGATCACTATTTTTAATTCAAACAGCACTAATAGTCTAAGAATATCATTTACAAAATCTATTTTTAAAACTGTTTCTTGTCAATACACTTGCAACCCTGTTGGCGGAAGTCCCCAAGCATCATGTCAAAATAAAAGATACCCTATTTGGTATTTATTCAGTTACTGATATTTAAAGCAAAATCTGTTTGAGATATAGCTACCAAGTTATTTCTCAAGCTGTTGTGAGTGTACAGTCAAGTGGTGATGAAAGCAAACAGTAATGGAAAATGATCAGTCCAGCTAGAGTAAGAGTTTTAGGACATTCAGTATGCAATAAACTTTAATGGAATATTTTTGTTTGAGATGTATGCTACAGATCATATTGATTTATGCTTTAAAATAAGTGTTTTTTCAACATGGATATATTTTATTTAGTGTTGAAAAGAAATTAAGAACCAGGACCCTCCACATGCTTAAATACAAAAAAGTCTATTGCATACGTGTGAAGCATTAAGCTATTTTTGGAATCTAATTCTATCTCTCTTCGTGGGGGAAAAAAAAAAAAAATTTCTAATCTGGAAGCTTTCAAATTTCATATTACGCCTAAAGGATATTTTTTTAACATTTTATGTATTACATTTATTTATTAAATATCATGTTCTTCACACTTAACCCTTTGAAGGGCACCAGTATATAATATATACCGGTTGTTTGTCAATTTTTTAACCTCCAAAAAAATGCTAATTTTTCTACACCAAAAGCTATAATCGTAAATGTCTAGTATTTTCTTTCGATTCTAAATGGCAACATCACCCTATGAATGCTCAATATTTTACAGTTATGAAATTAATATACGTCGTTCCAAGGTATCATGTTGGAAGATTGATAAATTCTATTGGAGGGAAAGAAAAAATTCAAAATCTGCAAATATATGACGTACACATGCTGAATCTTATATATTTACTTCATTTCAGTCAGAAGTGATAATTAACAGCAGATAATTTATACGATTTTAAAACTGGTATATAATATATACCGGCGCCCACGCTGAGGGTACCACGCCAATAGATGGCAGTACCAGTCTTCTCCTTTTCTACTCTGTGACGTAACAGAATTTCTTTATTATTATAACAGCTTATGATGTAATAATATTTCATGATTAACTTATAAGTCGTTTAGGATTAAATATTATGTTCATGGATGAATGGGGAGTTTTCTGACCCTGCGCTAGGACTGAATACAAGTATATTAGTTTCATTTATTCTTTGTGTACTCAGCTCAAGTTTCATTCGTCTGTGTTTAGCTAAAATTTTTATTTCAGCACTTATCACTCTTTCCCAAGAGAAAGACTCATGGATTTCAAAACTCTCGTCTGGGGTCAAAACTTCACACAATTGTAGGGGTTAAACGTGGCATGCTAGCCCCCAAAAGACACCTGTTGCTTCCTGTTTTCCAAAATCCTAGAATGTAAGTGAAAATGAAAAGAGGTGATTGACAACCAATTGTCTTTCGGGGAGTCACAGGCCTTCTTCCCTTTGTTGAAGTGTGATAAGATTCACACAAAGGGAAAGTTCACTTAAAAATACGGGAAATGGAAATGCACTTAAGGTCCGTCTCATAGTAATGTAATCACAAAAACTGCTGATTTGAAAAGCATGCTTTTATTCTTTAGGGAAATTCTTTTAATCTTTGTTAATTTCAGATGAAAGACTAGGGAACACAAGGAGAAATTTGCGCTCTGGGTTAGGATACAAATAGGTTGTTTTCGGAAATAAATTTCACAGTTGGTGAAAGGAGGAAAAATATTTCTAAGCCCCATTTTAGATGCAAGCTAAAAAATTTTATCCAAAAGTTGAAAAAGGATCCCCTTGATGAGCCAAAGGGGTTGAAAATCTGATAATAAGAGCTTTGAGGTGTATCAAATAATAAAATTGTTTAACGGTGTTTCTTCCTGAACAAAAAGATATATTACAACCTATATTTACAAAAAATAAAAAAGGGACCCTTACGGTCCTCCATGATCTAAAGTGTGTGTGCGTGGAGGGGGGGGCAATTCTTCGTATCATAGTATGAAGCATGGTTTTTTTCACATATTATCTAAAGCATAAAATACAACTTCAAAAATGCAACATACTTTCTCAGCTGAGTTGGTCGTAGTGCTTCATTTTTCAATTTTTTTAAATTTTCGGCTGAGTTACATCTGCTTGTAATATTATACTAGTTCAGTTACAGCATGATACGATTTACAAATGCAGTGTTATATTAGCTAAATTTTTTTTATAAAATAATATTGAATTTAAATCAAGTTGAAGAACTTTTTACCCATAAGTATGTTCAGCTGGGTCGCATCATCAAAGTGCATAAAAACATAAATTTCATTTTTAAAATTTTAAATTTCTGCCGAAATTTAAGAAAATTTTGTCTTTAGACTTACATAACTATATTCAAGCACTCATCACTACAGACGCACATCAAAAGTACCCAAAATTAATTTAAAAAACAAAGATTAACAGTTGGCAACTACTTGGAAAAAAATGTCCTAGAGGGGCGCCGGTATAAGGATTTCGCTCTAGAATTTTTTTAAGTCTCAATTTTGTGTCCTTAGGGTCCATAAGTTATAGTTCATGCAAAATTTTACCACAGTTTAAATTATTTTATATACCGCCCCTCAAAGGATTAAACCAAAAAATTCAATTCCATGGCAATACCACAAAAAAAAAAAAAAAAAAAAAAAAAAAAAAAAAAAGAAAGAAACCTCACACATAAATACCCATGCTTGAAGATTGCGCGATGTTAATGTTAATGGAATACTTTGAAATCATTAAGTTTGTTAATAAAAAATTCATTCAAAGTTTTACAAAATATGAAACAGATAATAAAACAATTTCCAAATTTGGGCTTCCACATGCCCATATTCATGTGGAGGGCTATGTTATTCAAAATTTGTCATCTCTAGGTACCATTGCTTTTTCACAATGCCAGAAACATACATACATTCATACAGTTTCTTCATTAGTTAATTTCTTTAAATATAATGCAGGTCACTAATATCTGGTGGCAACAATTTGAAAAGTGATTTAGACTTATATAGTTAACCAACAGTGAATGCCAATATGAAATTAATAGCCTTTCTGGGCAAATTGTCTCTTTGGGCCAAGTCTGAAAGTATTAAAAAGCTGTTAAAAATATAAAACAATATTTTATAATATGCTCAAAGGAGCATTTTACCCATTTAAACACACATGCATGTTTTAAGTATTTGGGCTAAAAATATTTAAAAACAGCATAACTCTAGAATTTTTCATAGACTGTCTCATGACCCGGAGATAATAACATTTTATTCCATGTACTGCCACTGCTCACTTTGAAACTGTCGAGTTTCTTAATCCAAAAATTTGTTACACTTTAAAAAGTATGAAATAGATAATAAAACAAATTCGAAATTCAAGATTCAGGCTTCCACGTGCCCATATTTGGGTGGACAACCATGTTATTTTAAATTTGACGGCTTTAGAGTATCATTCTTTTTTTACAATGTGAGAAACATACACACATTCATGTAGATTCTTCATTATTTATTTTCTTTAAATACAATACAGGGCAATAATATTTGGTGACAACAATTTAAAAAGTAAAACAGCCATTTATAATAATTCAATGCAAAATGCCATTTCGAGACTAATAGCCCTTCAGGTCTAACACCCCTCTGGGCTTTTTAAAAAAAAAAAAAAAAATTGGTGGTAGTCCCAAATGACTAGATAACAGATTATTTTTGATATTTGGCATCCCAGTTTTGGACTTTGTACTGTATATTACTGCATTTTGTGTTTTAGATGGCAACCACCTTGTGTATTCATGTGCTATGTTGCTACTCATAATTGATTGAAATGAGCTGATTAATTCATTTTTTTTAATTCAATACAAAGCTTTTGTGATTTGCGAAATATGCTATCTGTTACTATTTACAGTTTTCAGTATTATGGAATCCTTATGGCTACTTGTGAGTGTTCAAAATTTCACAGAATGAAATAGAGTAGGAATTGCTGCTCATTAATAGATATGCATCCAATACGCAAAATAAAGGTGTTCTAGTATTTTGAGCAACTAGTAAGTAGTATTTTAGTACAAAAACCAAATAAAGAAAAAGAAACCACATCTTTAAACACAGAAATATCAGAATATATCAAAAATGAAAGTAACATAAAATACTGTTTTCTCTTAGTCATGCTGAATTTTTTTAATTAAAAGATACATGGTTAAACATTTACTTTTCATATAATCAGATGTCTGTGTTCCATAGATCAATTTATAAAGATACTGTTGAATTCTTAACTTCATTAGTAGATCAGAATAAGAATAAAATGCATCTGAAATAATTTGTTCTTCAACTTCTTGAAGCATAGAAGATAGTTCCTCGAATTTTCTGTTGTCCAATTCTTTAATGATATATGAGTGAGAAATTATCACTGAATACCCATCTTCACATTTTCCCTACAAAAAGATGCTTTAAATGTATTTTAAGAAGTTTTAAGATCAATAATAATAAATTCAAGGAAAATTAAAATATTACAATAAAACAAATTACAGTAGCAGATTATAATATAATGCAATAAACAACAATTTACTTTTATTGAATACTACCTAGAATATTCAAAAATTAAAAAAAAAAAAAAAACTTTGCAAAGAATTATATATAATTCCTTAAATACAAAATTTCATACTAAGACAAGAGAATAAATACAATTATAGCAAACTAACTTGATCCTGAAAAAAAAAAAAAAAAAAAAAAAAAAAACAAAAAAAAAAAAAAAAAAAAAAAAAAAAAAAAAAAAAAAAAAAAAAAAAAAGGAAAAAACATCTTATTTATCTACTAAAATACTTTTCAGTATTTTTAGAGACAACTCCTGAAAAACACACAACATACAGTCAAAAGTCTTTAATCCGGACTCGTCGGGACTTCGGCGATTCCGGATTATCGATTTTTCCGGATTATAGATCATCAGTTTAAATCTGGTAAGATGGCATGCAGAAATTATAAAACTAAAAATATGAAACCGTAATTTATAAAATAATGAGCAATTATGATCTAAAGGGTATCCAAATTTACCAAAAAAGAAGCCTAATATTTATTTGTTTACTTTATTAAACATTTCTTTTAACGCGCGGATGCGTAAAGCATACCTTACTCATAGCCGAATATTAGAAAATTGCAACCAGAAAACTATGTGATTTGTATTCGTGATATTTATAATGACGAGGAATTTGATTTAAATCATATCAAAGACGGAGTACATCGAAATTAAATACTACATTTAATAAGGAATTATAAGCCGACTAAAATAAAAACATCTGCCCTGAAGATAACGATAGTGTTGACAGATCAACTTCCAGTTCATTGCGCGCCGCGACGTGCCCCCCCCCCCGCGCAGAGCAGCGTGAAATTGATAAACAGATTTCGGAACGGTTAGATAAACAAAGGATATGCTTTTATTCATTTTTTGTAGCAATTCGTTTTTTGTTTGATGGACATCGAAACATACTTTCGTTTTCTAGATCCTTTGGGAGCTCCAGCATCGGAAATTCTATTTGACATAATCGAAAGTTCAGTTCAAGCTTACTTTTAGAAAATTGCTCTTACAGTCTGCAAAAAATAATAGGCCGGATCCAATTTGAAGATTAAGGAACAACGCAATTATCAACATTAACTGAAATAGATAATTAGATAATTTTAGCTTATACCGTCCGTCATACATTAAACGCGCACGTGAAAACGTATTCTGCACTTGCGCAGATGCATATGCGCAGTCGTAAATGTCTTGCGCACACGAGTAAAACGCCTATGCGCATGCGTCAATGCGGCGCATGCGCAGAAAGATTTTAGCTTTGAGGTCCGGATTACGGGTGTCCGAATTAACGACTTTTGACTGTAGTAAAAAACAAAAAAACTAAAGATTCTTCAATGCCAAATGAATGCCACACTTTGTTAGTAAGTAGAAGTAGCAAATGAGTGTTGTTATTTGTAATAATCAGCATGAGCAAACAAGGAATAGTTACCTTAGCAGAGACTTCCTTTTTGACAGATGTCCACAAGTCATCTTTAAGCCTTTTTATTCGAGAATTTAAATATTTTACACGGCGTCGAATGTCACTTGAAGATTTTCTGTCAGACTGATACACGCGAATTAAATCATACATTTGGTAATTTTCTATTCCTTTGACGTCCTGAAAGATATGAAAAATACACATTTATAAATATACACTACTGCTTTCTAAAGTCAATGGAAGAAGAACCATGCATAGATGAATGGATTTTCAAGGTCTGAAAATACTCACAGCCATCCTCTTTCATTAGTAAGAAATAAAAGTACATTAAAATTACCTATATTCTAAAGCTTATGATATACCTATCATGGTGAGTAATACATTCCAAAATTGACAAAATATATTTAAAAAGAATATATTTAATAAGTATTTTAATTCATATAATTTTATTAAGAAATATTTAAAAAAGTAATTTAAGAAAAGTAAACTATTTTAGAAAGTATTTAATATACTAAACTTATACTTTTATTAGCATTTTAAAACTGCAACAATAAAAAATATTCTTAATTAAATGGTTAATATTTAATACTTACAAAAACATTAAGATTTAAAAAAATACTAGTATGCTGCTGGTTATAAATTGATCTGAATTTTTTCTCCCTTTCTTCTCAAAATGCAGAAGCAAATATTGAATTCAAAATTTGAACTTGTTTAGGTTGATTATTTAAGGCAAATGCACTTCAACTTAACTAGGTATGAATGCTTTGGTAGAAGACTCCTAATGGAAATGGCTATTTATGTTATACATGAACAAATGCTACCAAATATCCACTGTTTTATTAAATGAATTTGCACATGCAAAACAAATTATGGATATGTCCAATATTTTGTAGATATTCTTTGACATATAAATTTATCTAACAACACATGCTGACAACCAATTTTTTTTAATATACTGCCTAAGAAGATAAAATTCACAGCTCTTAAGACGTTGCCTCAGCTCTGGCAACGATATATATTCATATGGTACATTTTAATATTCAAATACCATTCTATATATAAATCTACTAAGTCAAATACAAGCAGCAAATTCGTACTAAAGTTTGTCAAAAATCACTCAAGTATAAAATAGTAACTGAAGTAGTCTTGAAGTGCTTTATTGCCTTGTTCTGAGAGGTGGCAGCATAATGCATAGCCATAACTGAAGTAGTCTTGAAGTGCTTTATTGCCTTGTTCTGAGAGGTGGCAGCATAATGCATTGCCATAACTGAAATGAAAATAATATTGTATTTACTTGAAAACAAGACTCTCCTCATATTTCTGCATAAATTTTAAGAGACAAAAATGCAATGACAGCAGTAGTGATTTCGATTAGAATGAAAGGTAAGCTGCCAAATTAAACACCACATTTTACTATGGCATGGTAAGAAAAAGAGGGGAGGGAATATTAGGGATATACTAATACTAATTTTCTTTTTAAGCATACAGGTGACTAGTATAGAGGATTTAGATCTAAGCTGAAATCACAAGTAAACATAGCAGTTGTGATTAGGAGTATTTATGCACATTACATACAATACAATGTCTGATTTCCAAACCGGTAGGATTTTGTAATTAGCAGTAGTTATGGAGTTTACATATAATACAAAGTCTGAAATCCAAAATTATTCGGATTCTGGTAATTTCGGAAATTTTTGAATTTTAGATCATTAATTTAAATCTAGTAAGATAATACAAAGAAATTAAATAACATAAAATATGAAATGACTGTGTGATTTAATAAAGTATTTATGACTTTAAATCACTGTAACACGTAAATATTTGCTTTGTTTTATTAAAACACTACTTTCAGTATGAGTTGTTTATGCAATTTAATCTTTTCAGTTATACTTTCTCTTTTAATTTTATAGAGGCATATCATTTCTTGATCAATAATGAAGTTCTAAAGAGCAAGTCCTGTAACAGCCTTGTTGAAAATTCCAAATAAATAGCCAACTGAGATGTTTTCTTTCTGAGTAACCTCTTTATCACTTCCTTTGCTATCAGTGGTGATATTTTCTGGATTTAATACCACACCACAGATTATGTCATTCATTAACTGACTGATGACAGGATTATCATCACAACGAATACCTCAGTTATGAAGTTTATTTAGAATTTCTTTGTATATCTTCACATTAGTCCTCCCCATGGGAAGTGTGAATAATCTGCAGATTAATCTTTGTGCTTTGGAAACATGTTTTGAAGATAAGTGAGTAATGATATATCTCCCTTAAATTCTGTATGCTACTGCGTGATGTGGAGACAGTAAACATCCTTTTTGCTGATTTGCATTCTAGGGTGAGTAATACGTTGTCATTGTCTGGTGCTCCCTTGAAAGAGGGTCCAAATTTATTCAACAGCTAACTTGTGAGTGTTCAGAAAAGCCCCAGGATACCGGCACTTGCAAAAGGCACCAGTGCATTTGTTGCTTTCCCAATAGAGCCAGTAGTAGGTTTTACCTATAGGATTTGACATTCCCTATTTAGCAGCTAACTTGTGAGTGTTCAGTGTAACCCCAGAATACCGGCACTTGCAAAAGGCATCACTGCGTTTGTTGCTTTCCTAATAGAGAGCCAGTAGGAGGTTTTACCTATAGGAATTGACATTCCCAGCATAACAAAAAACAAAATTAAGCTTGTTAAAGAAAACTAAAAGCTCATAGATTTGATAGTGCCACAAAGGCCTAAATTAAATCCAAAAACACTAAAGATGATTTTGATAAGAAGACCTTAACAGAAACACTAAAAACGCAAAAACCATACATGCACTTGAGGAAGCGAAAATGAAAGTAAATTTTCATAGAAAGAGCAGATACAAAAGAAATTGGGTGATATCATTAGATCCCACCTCCTTTAAAAAAATAATCTCTACCAAAAAAGTTACCTTACAGTGGACCAGGAAAGTATCAGGGAATTCATTAAAATGACCCATTGCACCATCTATATGCGATTTGAGCACACAAAACGAACATGCACAGAGGAATAGCAATGCGCATGATGCAGGAAGACAGGACACGATAAAAAAAGACTGCACCGTCAAAAGAAACAAATGTGTAAATCGGGAAACAAATGTGTCATTCAGAAATGTGCCACAGCAGTCTAGATAATAACTATGCTTTCAAAATAACAGAATTAGAATTAATCCTTAATACAACAGAAAATATTTTTATGGATAAATTAAGAATTACCCTAATTAATTTACAGCCTGTTGGAGTGCAAATCTATAATTCAGGAGAGACTTAGAAGAATTAAATGATATAAAGATAGCATGTATTCAAGAACCTGTCTCAATCAAAAATAAATTCTGCAGATTCCTGTTAAAATATAGATTGCATTATAGCTCAGAGAACAGCAAAAGTGGCATTAATAATTAAAGACTAGAGTATTCCAATTCTGGAGCTCCATGCAATTGACACAATTTATGGCAGTAAAAACAGATGGGGTTTCGTTATTTATTCTCATGTCCATCTACAGCCCCTGCATGATGATCTAGTTCAAACAATTTCTAAGATGGAAGCATTAGTGCATCAAAACAATGAGATTCCAATATTAATATGTGGTGATTTTAACTCTAAAAGCAATTTTTGGTGTCCCAGAGCCACAGACACAAGAGACTACAAACTAGAAGATTTCTCGCATTCATCTACTCAACAGTTATAAATGACTCAGTCTCCCAACCTTTGTAAGAGCTCATGGTAACTCACGGTACCATGAGCTCATAGTAACTAACATACATGTCACAATTGCACAAAATGCAAACAATTTTTAAATTGAAAATTGGAGTGTGGATAAACGTGAAACTTTAAGAGATCACAAGGAAATACATTTCAATATAAATATAAAAATGTATGACGATAGGAAAACAGTAAGGATGAAAATTCAAAATATGAACTAATTAAATCTGAAAAAGAACATCTCTAAAATTTTTCTAGAGAAAACAAAACTCAGAAATAATGAGACAATTGCATTAATGCGACATAAAAAAAACTCAAAGAAGCATATATTAAAAATCTAATATTCCCATATAAAAATCCAAACAATTACTGGATTAGGAAAACATGGTGGACCCCCTACCATATGGAGCAAAGAAAAGAAGTGAGAAAACTAAGAACAGCATACCAACACTCGAGAGCAGAAGGCTAAAAGATAGGCAAAATACAAAGTATTTACGTGAAACAAAAAAACTTGACTCGTGGAATAACTTTTGGAACAGTCTAAGAATCATCTCCCTATTTGGTATCTATTATGATATATTAAAAGGTAAAGCTTATAGTCCCTTAAATAATACTAAAAATATGCTAGTTTAATAAATGATGTTTGGACAAACCATATAGAACCAGCAGAAAATAATTTTACGATAAAAGAAATTAAGGGCATAATAAAATCCTCAAAGAAAGGGAAAGCCCTGGGATATGCTGAATTCTAGTAGTAGAAGAATTATTCCTAGCAAATGAGAAGCTTTTCCTCAAAATTTTAAATGAATGTTTAAATAGAGGGTACTTCCCCAAATCATGAATAATGGAGAATTTAGTTCTACTGCACAAAAAAAAAAAAAAAAAAAAAAAAAAAAAAAAAAAAAAAAAAAAGAACATTCTCAGAGTCATACTGGCCCATATGCCTGCTCTCACCATGGGAGAAAAATTTTAGACAAACTCTCGGCAAAATCATTAACACATTTTCTAGTAGAAAAGGCATATTAAACAATAATCAGTTTGTGTTTACTCCTGGCAGGAGCATGACAAACTCCTGAAATGACTTAACCATACAAATACAAGACAAGAGGTGGAATAACCTCCATAGATGTGTAATTTCATAGCTGTGGCCTCAGCGTTCAAATAATCTGTGGTAGCTAGGGATAGAAGTTAATTGCCTGAAATACCTTTAGCAAATTCGTTAAAGTTACATATGTGATAGAAAATACAATACAAGCATGATAGTGTTAATATCACTCCCACATATCAAAAGGGAGCCCCTCCCCAGCAGTCTAATCTTGGGCCATTTCTCTAAAATGTTCTGGCCGATACGGTACTAAACATAAACTTTGAAGACAAGCATAATGTGGATGATTTCATTATAATCATAGGTAGTAAGAATTGTCTCTCACATGAAGAAAAGCCCAAAGGGAGTTAGAAAAGATTA